TTTTTCTTCACCAAATTTGCCAAAATTATTAACAACTTTAATAATTATTACAGAATATAAGTACTTCCTTCTTATATTCTTTCTATGGCATTTTATTTCTTATTTTAATATTTTTGACCTTCTCTAATACTCAGCAGTAAGCTTGAGGACTTATAACACTAAAATTCTGGATTCGGTCCTTGTAATGGGCACAGCCCAGGTAGCTCATTCTGTAGCTTTGTGTTTAAAACAAAAACGAACGTTGACTCATGGTAGTAAAACGTGTGTACATGTTAGCAAGCATAAACTCACTCACATTATTATGTATCAATATTTTCCCCCAAACCTTACCCAAATCACGTCAGATCTGAACATTCACATATCATCAGTACGTCATAATCCCTATAGCAAAAAAAAAACAACAACAACAAAACAAACAACATATAAATTAAAATGTTAAAAACATATTCTACAATGCTGCCACATTCCTATATTCTGTAGCTCCTTAAACAATTGTAATGCAAAAATTAAACTAATATATTAAACATAAGCTTACATAATTAGTAATGAAGTCACTATTTACAATTAACAAAAATGCTATTCATAAATAGGCATTTCAATCACTAAATCTTCTAATTAAGTGTATTAAACAAGGTACAATAAAAATTGTAGTTAGCAGATCAAAATCTTAATCATTTACATTCTAAACTGTCTATTCGCCAAATCCTCTTGGTGGTTTTCTTACCCGTGGCTCATAGTAAGAAGACAGGGAGACTTTTTGTCCTTTTTTACCATTTATTGTCTTGTCATGGGAAGACTTTTCTTTGGGTGTATGACCAAGCGAATCCACAGATGGCTCGATTCTTGGTGATACTCAAAAAATGTTCTTGATAGAAACTCTTGTCTCATTGGCAGGTTGATTTGTTACTGATGAAGAGTTTTCTAAGGTTAATCAACTGTTCTCTCAACAATGTACTTCTAAAGACAATCGTGGTAGATTACATTTTCTTTCAAACTGCATCATTGATTCTTTACATATTTCCTTCTCAACAACTACCTACTTTGGAGTTTGTCCTCCTTCGCAATGGGTATTGTACAGTTATATTATGTTAATATACTGTTACGTCTCCGTTCGTTAATTAACTTTCCGTAACTTTGTTCCGACGAAACTTTAGCGACACAAGTCCTTACTTAATAAAACTGGTTTATTCTTTCCGAATACAACTTTACGATACACTTATTTTCAACAGTCGCTCTATGACAAACGCTATATCAACTAACGTCAACAATACTTCTGACTGCAGTTCAATTACTCACTATCTACACACACATTATTATCCCGTCACGTTGTCACCCTCTTTTATATACCAGACTACCCTATATCTAGTACATGCTAGAGCATTCGCCAAGGTACAGGATAGTTCTAGAAACGTGGCGTGACACTAGTCATGTGACTTCGCTGACACAACAATACTAAAACGTTAAATCACTCTTATCACCATTTACATCATAGTGACTTTTCATTTTATCGACAGCTGATTTAAGGCTTTCTCGGGTAAAGTCATATGTTATATTAGTTGTGTGCCTTAGTCTCCTATATGTTTTATATAAGACTCTACTGATTGATTATATTCAGGATGTGGGTACAGACGGTCCAGTGGCACTTTAAGTTCTCTCCTGAACATCAGTGGTACTGGTGTGTTGCCTTTAGCCTCACGTATTGCTGTTAATATCTCGTGAGTAACAATGGAGGATCTTGATACTATATTTATTCACACATATATTGCAAATGAATTTCAATTAGTACAGTTGTATCTATCCGCCATTCTGTCAAAACATTGATGAAAGGTTGTTGTTCTAGTCTTTTTTCATTCCAAGTAATTGACCCATTTTTCCAAACAAGTTTGATTAAAATCCCCATCCCTGACCTGAGTGAAGTTCCATATGCACCCTAAATATTAAAACAAATTCACTGACAAGTTTCCTTGAGAGAATTTCTGATTTTTAGTTAGAAACAGTTTGTAGCCATTTAGTGAAACAATCCATCACAACCATGATATATTTATTTCAACAGTTACTCTGTTGCAGAAGACCAAGCACATCAAAGCAACTCTTTCCTATCGCTAGAGTATATCCAAGTAATATTGATTCCCCTTGGAGATCAAACAAAATATTTATTACAAAATAATACTATGTTTCGCCGAATACCTGAGTTTGTGAGATTTAAATAAAGAAACTGTACACAATATGAAATATAAAAGCACAATTCTTATTATGACAGGAAACACAAACACAGTGTGCGTACTTACTTTGGACAATGGTCTTTTTTTTTTGTACTGGATTGGAGCTATTATATTTAACTGATTAAGTCGAAATCATCTACCATGTTCAACATCCCTTATTTACCCAAAGCAACCAGTAATACATAAGTGACTGGTCTGGTCCTCCTCATTTGAACATAAGAAGGCTGAAGCCTTGAGATACTACCTGACCTAGTAATAATAGCCACAACATGTTGTACATAACATTTTGCCGACATTATTAGTCAATAGCTTGGAAAGGAAGGAATGCTACTTTCTTTCAATAATTAGTTGTACATACTAATGACTGTTTTAGCTTTGAAGATCAAGCACAAACTCTACAACGTATTGCATACATTGTACTTCCAGTACTGCTTGATGGCTTGGAAAGCAAGGGATCATATTGCCCTTTCAGTCAGCAGTCTTCTAGTTACCCAACCATTCTATATTTGATCCATGGATGTCCACTATAGTTCTAACTGGCAGGTGTTGTCCACCAACAGTACATTCAGTCCTTCTTGGTTCATTTTCTTTACTATAGAACAGAGCTGGGAATGAATTGCTCTTGGGTGACAGCCTGGGAGTCCTATGAAAATGTCCCAAGTGCTATACTAGCATTGCTAAACTGTTTCTCTCTCTAGGTCGTGGTGAGTACTTCTAAATCTAGAACAAACCACTCTTTCAGTATAAGCATTTATTTAAACTCTTTTCAGCAGAAAAGATCAAGCAAGGACCAATATATACGTTATCGTTTCAGATATTCTTCAATAACTCCTAACGGCACACCATCTAATTTTCTCCTTGTCTATTTGTCTAAAACCGATTTCCTGACAAGTATCAGTCAGATAACACTGCAATAACAACAGATTCTATCCGAAAATCCAGGGAGAGTTTGTAGTTAATAACTTGACTGGATTTTAAATTATATGAGAAATAAATACATTGAACACATTTAAAGGACAGTGAAAACAATAATTATTTAAACACAACAAGAACGAAAAATATGTGTACTTGTGTGTAGACAATAGTCTCTACTGAATCAATGAATAGCTTCGTCAGCTTTCTTTGTATAACTAGTCACGTTAGAAACATAATAGAACTGAACAAAGAAAGTGCGTCTGTATTCAACAGATAAAATCGGCTTGAATGGGTAATGAAGAAAAACTTTAATATAAGTTTAACACAACAGCAAATGTACAACGTTTCGACCTGATGATGACAAAACCTTGTCGAAACGTTGTACATTTACTGTTGTGTTAAACTCATATTAAAGTTATTTCTTCATTACCCATTCAAGCCGTCTCCAACCATTATTAGTCTCAAAGTGGGTTCCTCGTCATCGAAGATAAAATCGCTCTTTTTCTGTGCAGTTCTGGTCACGCACAACGACACGACCAAATCACAATGCAGATCCACAAATGTCCAGTCGACAGCGTCCGATCATGTTGTTTGTTCCCTCACAGCACTGGTCGGCTTTTTCATTCATTTAACGTAATAATGGACCAGAAAAGGATATAACAGTGCCAATCCTTCCAATACGAATACCATACAAATTGATGCAATATCCTTACAGGAAGATTTCTTTGGTTTATAGCAAAGCTTCATTGCGCTTTCTGCTGTGTCAACCGTGTGGAATCGAAACCTAGATTCTAGTATTGCAAGTCTATAGACTTACTGCTGTCCACCCAGGAGAACCCCTGCAGAATAAAGAGATATCACATATGCTTTTATAAATAACAATAATTTGTTTGTTTGTTCGAAGTTCAGCAAAAAGCTACACAATGGACTATCTATGCTCTGCCCACCACGGGATTCGAAACCCGGTTTCTAACGTTGTAAGTCCGCAGACATACCGCTGAGTCACTGAGGTGCAAAGAACAAAGAAAGGAAACAACAAGAATAAAGTAATCTTAAAGACTTCCTGGACTACGTGTTGCTACCATCATAGTGGCAAAATCAGATAACTGAAAATTAAAAAAAAATTATTACACTAAAAAAAGGTAGAAAAGATATGAAAAAGATGACTAGTTACGACATTAAAGGAGGAAATCCATTTTCACTCTTATTACACATTCAGTTATTTCCAGGTAATTCTCCATGCTATTTGGTAGTTACGTTGTAGATGGGCTGTGAACGGTACGTATCACGGATTACACACTGTTTTTTCTGTTATCACCGAACGCTGTGACTTTAGCCATTGTTCATCGATATTGTATTTAATCGAAGATACAGTGGGTGAAATAGAGTAAGTCATATAATAAAAAGTTACAAATTAAACAAAATATTATACTTAATACTATTAGTAATACTGTTGTTAGTGTTAGTACAATAAGTACTGATAACGATAGGCTTTTGTTTTTAAATTGTATTTTTTTCTTCGACGACGACAGTTTTGCTTTAAAATATTATTATTAATATTATTTGTTATAAGTCCAACTTCAAAAAAGTTGTGTTTGAAACATTGTGCATGAATTGTAAGACAACTTCATTATTTTAGTACTTATCTTCTGATACTGTGAGTGTGATGCTGATAGGTACTAAGGTAGGGAGAACTTCAGCGGGCTATTTTATTTTAGAAACCTTACAAGTTACAGAAAGTTTTTCTTCATTAGTTGGTCAGGGAACGTACTAGAAACAATTTTAGGTCATTATTAATTTCTAACGTGCTGAAGCACGTTTAATGTTTTACTGCATATGATATGGAGCTCAGGAATAATATGATTTTGATTACAAATCCTCTCCCCCCCTAAAAAAAATCTAATTTTGAAATTGAAGGGTGAGGCATCATCGTTCTGAACAAAAATTGTTGTAGAAGGGAAGGCTTTAGAACTTGGCAATTGGTGGAATTTTATTGTTGATTAAATTCAACTAATTGTCTATTCTCAAGAAACTTGTGGATAGTTATAATAATAAAAAAATGTAATGAACAGAAACACTAATTTTGATTGGTTAATTATTTGCCTGAGTTGTGACACTATTGAATTAAGCTTAACCACCTTGAATTAATCAAAAATGATAATGAGAAATTATAATAGCAGTATTTCAATTATTTGGATAGTTGGAATAAATTGAAAATATTAGAAACACAAATTTAACTTAGTTGTTTGTTGCATAATTTTAATGAATTGAATTTTAATTATTATTAATAACTTGTGTTATGTGACACTAAGTGATGTTCATAAGTTTTAAAAATTGAAAAAAGAGCTAAAATGGGATATAAAAAATATCCAATAAAATAGATTTTTCTCTGCTGTTAATGTGGGGAAACATCTGTTTTATGGGATATTTTTTCTATACTGTTTTAGCTGTCTTTAGGAGTTTTTAAAATTTTGTGATATGCATCTAATTTATACTGAAAGTACTTGAAGATGTTACATTTTACCAATACAGCTACCTAGAGTTTAGAAGCCAAGCAGACTTACCCCTCTTCCTGCCCATCATGTGTGTGTGATAGCCGAGTATGTAGTGTTTCTTGTTTCATTATCTTTCTCTTCTTTTTTATTAAATATAAGAAACGGAAAGTTTCATTTACCTGTGAAGAATGTGTGATAAATTTTTATTTGATCTTGCAGGTGTTTTTTTATAGGTTTTAAAGGAAGAACAGAAGACTGAAGAAGTGTTATGAATTATTTTTATTGCTTTCTCAACAAGTATTTACAACATTAAATAAGTTTTGAAAAGCGCTGTTCAGACGGCTATTAATATCCACACTTACACACACTATGATATTCAAAGTTTTTAGGGCATGGCATTACCTTAGCAACAGTGACTGTTCCTGATGCCAAAAACAACTGTAAGGACATGATGAATATTACTAGGAAGATGGAGGATAATGAAGGAGACAATGGAATTGATGAAAACACTTCTTCGTGTGATAATACACTAGAATCAGAACAACTTGATGGTGTTTCGACAGATGAAAGATTTGTTTTCTCCATATTTGAGTGTGTATTACTGTTAAGTTGTGTAGGAAGCTTCTTGTTTGATACTGGCAGTGATTTGTTGATGTGTTATTTTCATTACAATGCTGGCAATATGTGGTACTTTGGATTGACTGCTGCTTTTGTCATTGTACCCGCATTAACAATGACAGGTTTTAGTCTTCGTTGGTACATTTTGGATCTGAATAACAGAGAAGTCGAACGTGCATCTTGGGGCCAGTGGGCTGTTCGAGTGGTCTTTCTAATACTGCAGCTAGGACCAGTTATAAGGTAGTACATATATGTATATTATTATAATGAATATTAGGCTTAAATGACTGTCTTTAAGGGTAAACATTTATACTATAGGACTTCAGAATACTGACATTAAAGTTGCTAAAGATGTTAATATTGCATGTAGGGATATTGTTCTCATCTTTATTATGTGTATTATTATTATTATTTACACAACATTTCGATCAGTGAATTTTCCAGCCATTGTCAGGTGTTGTATCAGACTCTTTTTTTTTATGCGTCACTACCAGAAAGTTCAAAACATTATGTAATTAATAATAATAATACACGTAATAAAGATGAAAACAATAGTCCAAATAATTATACAATTAGTAATATTAACACCTCATCTCAATCAGTTCTCAAAACCCATGTTGAGAGGTAAAAATCCCCCAATCAGAAATTGGTTTTAGCAATTCAAAAGTGTGTGTCCTGAAAGGTTTTTCTTTTTACTTGTTTTCCTCGAGTATAGTCACCAGTTTCTTCCCAGGACACATTACATTCAGTCTTTTGTATGAATTTTCTCTTAGTTTCTGAATTTAGTTTTTCTGTGTGTATAGTTTTGTATTGAAAACAGGAAACCTATTATTAAGAGTAAATTAAAGTTATCCACTCAGAATTTGTTTATTACAATGACTTTGTTCTTTGATAAAAACTGTCACAAATTTTGGCTACATATCAGAAAAGGAGGACAATTACGACATGTGTAATAAAAATGTTATTTGATAGTGAGATTATCTACTTATTATGATCTTAAAAAGGACAACTTGTTTGAGCAGGAGGAGACCTGTTGAAGGGCATTTATTGAATATACAGTGCTTCTTCAGAGCATCTTATATTTTTGGTAGTATTTAATAACCTTATTTGTGAAGAATGCTTTATGATTTAATGGATAAACAGACTGGAAGCAAACATCTACTTTATTTAAGTACATTCAAAACAACAGCCTTATTCCCAGACTACAACTACATTGGTTAAAACTAGTGTAGGAGTTAAGCATTAACAGTTTGTTGGGTACAATGATTTGGTTTTATTTGTGAACTCTGGACTGGAATGTACTTTTAAGGAAACTAGTAACGAAGATGTGCAATTTGTACCTAGAGTTTATAGGTTGGAGGATATCATAATTAATGTAGAGGCAATAGATAAAGAAAAGTGTGGACTGTGGGAAAGGGCAGCAGGATTTCAAGAAGAGCTTAAGGTTTTTACATACAAGGAATACATCAGTTAACAATGAAATTTCAGGAAGTTAGAAATGGTAATATTAGGGCTTAAAGTAGTGGATTTAATTGTAATGAGCATGTTCTATTGAGCAACATATTTCAGCTCTTGATTTGTATAGATGATGAACTATTGGAGAGAAGAAAAACAAAAAGGACAGAGAAGGATGTGGATGATAAACTTAATAAGGTTATAGTTAAAGGTGATTCTTTGACAAGGCATGTGGATAGGATAGACTGTATGGTAAATAGGGAGAAAAGAATTAGATATGCTACCCAGGTATAACCGACAGAGCAAGAGATATAATAAAGGGGGTTAGCAATGATGCAGTTTTTGTTGGGCATGTAGGGGCTAATGATGTAGGGAAAGGTAGGTCAGAGGAGGTAATTATTAAGTATAAGGGGCTGATAAAGGCATTTAAAGAAAAGGGCCATAACTTAATTGTGTCAGGAATACTGCCAAGAATTAATTGTGAGGATGAAATTACAAGTAGGTCACTATGTTTGAATGCTAGGCTTAGGTTAATATGTAAGGATGAACAGATTAGTTGGTTGGACTTGTGGGATTAGATTAATGGGATAAGGGAGCTTTTTAAAATGGATGGTTTATATCTAAATAGGTTAGGGACTGGCTTATTTACAAGAGCTATTAACTCAGCTGTAAGGGAAGTTTAAACTAGGACTAGACAGAAAGCTGCAAAAAAAGAATAAAGAAAAGGTCCCTAGTGGGACAGCGGTAGGTCTTCGGTTTTAACAATGCTAAAATCAGGGGTTCAGTTCCACTTGGTGTTTTATTTGTGTAGTTAAGCATTCTAAGGCATTTTATGAGTGAGCTAGAATGTTAACAACATGACTCTATTCTAAATAAAAAATTTGCACATGTTGAGATCAAATTTTTAACACCAATTGTGCGTAAAAGATTCTGAATATTTCTTCACAGTAAGAGTAAAGCCCAAGAGCCGCACACGTCTCCTTTAAGGGCTGCATGCGGCTCTTGAGCAGTAGGTTGCCGACCCCTGGAGTAGGGGCTGACTTGTTTGCAAGGGCTATTAACTCGGGTGTAAGGGAAGTTTTAAACTAGGACAAGACAGGACCATGATAAACTAAATGCAAAAAACAAAATGTAGAGAAAAGTTTAGAATAAGAAATGAGTATAAAAGTAGTTATAAGGATAGGCTAAATTGTTACTGTTGTAATACTAGAAGTATAAGAAATAAAATAGATGACTTTAGAGCACTGGTAGGAATGGAGTATTTTGATATCATGGGAATAACCAAAACATGGTTTGACGTAGACGATTTTGGTGAAAGAAATTTCTTTGAAATACAGGATTATAGTTTATCTGATAGGGATAGAGTACTAAAAAGAGGGGAGGAGTGCTTTATATGTAAAATGTGGTTTACATCTTGTTGAAGTTGAGGATATCAAAGATAATAGCAAAGAGATTGAATCCATTTGAGTTTCTAATAGTGAATATAAAGGGGAAAAGTTTTAGTAGGAATTTGTTACAGACCACCAAATGATACTGGTGGAATTAGTGAGAAATATTACAGTGAGATTAAGATTTCAGCTGGTAATGAGGTCATAATTATGGGTGATTTTAATTTCAGGCATATAGATTAGGAAATGTTGGAGACAAATCATGAGGGAAAGGTTTTGGGAAACTCTCCTTTAGATGGTTATCTTCATCAATTGGTCAAGGAACCTACTAGAAACAATGCTATTCATGATTTATTGTTGACTTCTAATATACAAGTGGTTGAGAGGGTGGAAATTGGGAAGCATCTAAGTGCTGCAAGGGACCATTGCTGTATTAGGTTTGTTGTTTTGCTGTATATGGAGATCAGAAATAGATATTTTGGTTACAGATTTCGAGAAAGCTAATTTTGAAGGGATGTGACAAGAATTATCTGTTGTGAATCAGATAGCTGAGTTATTTGAAGACACTGATCAAATGTGGAAATTTTTTTAAGATACATTTTTAAATATTCAAGATAAACATATTCCTTATAGAAAGAAAAGGGTGGCTGCATGTAAAAACTATGTTGGCTCACAAAGGGTATAAGGGATAAAATCAAAGAAAAGCATCACAAATTTAAGAAATTTAAATTAACTGGTATTATTGGAGATTGAGAAGATTATATAAGATTAAGAAAGTTGGTCAAACAGGAAATTACTACATCAGAAAGGATGTATGAAAAAGGTTGGCAGAAAATTAACAGTAAGGATCTCTTTTAGTGCATTAAGGGTAAAAAAATATTAGAATGGGGTACGAACTTTGAGGGATGATAAAGGAAGGCTCGATTCTGATGATTATTAGATGTCTGGGTTATTAAATTTTGATTTTTCTTCAGTTTTTCTAATAAAGATTTAAGCAATATTCATCATTTTGCATAGTTGATAGATGGGAACAAGATGATCACATTAATTCTGAGCTTGTTAACAAAAAATTGGGAAGTTTAAAGAACAATAAAGCTCCTGGGCCAGATAATATTTCCACAACGGATTTGAAGGAGGTTAAGGATTGGATATATGAGCCAATTGTTACAATTTTTTCTAAGTTCTTGAATAGTGAGTTGGCAAATGCCATAAAATTGGAAGTTGGCTAAGGTTACTCCTGTTTTCAGAGGAGTTGATGAAAAATTGTCCCAGTAATTATAGGCCTATTAGTCTTACATCAGTTGTGGGAAAAGTTTTTCAAAGTCTGATATAATATGCTTTACAAGGTCATTTAACAAAGTTTAGAATGTTATTGGATAGTGAACATGGTTTCATTAAGGGAAAATCTTGCCTTGCAAATCTTTTGACATTCTTTGAAAAGGTTACTGCTTATTTAGATGAAAGTAAGAGTGTAGATTTGATGTATCTGGATTTCCAGAAAGCATTTGACAAGGTGTCATATAAAAGGCTTCGAGAAAAAAAAAATCTTTAGGTGTAGGGGATAAGTTAGCTAATTGAATAGAAGATTGGCTGGATGGAAGAAAGCAGAGGTTTATTATAAATGGAGTTCAGTCAAACTGAAATGGAGTACCTCAGGGCTCAGTCTTAGGACCTTTGCTCATTTTGATTTACATGAAAGACAGATGAAGAAATGGTCAAGAAATTATTTAAATTTGGTGATGATATCAAGGTCTTGGGTGTTGCTGGATGTGAGGAAAATGTTGTTGATTTACAAAAGGATTTTGGGAACTAGAATTACTCAGATGGTGAACAGTGTTACCACCATTGTGTATCTTGTGGTTTGTTCATCTAAAATTCGAGGTTCATAGCCTCTTGTTGAGCCTTCTTTGTCTTTGAACATCTTTGATCAGCTCTCCTCACAACTTTTCTTTTCTTCTGGTTCTTCTATCTCTCACTAGAATTGGTTAACACCTACCTTTGTTAGACATATGAACATCAGTGCGAGTCCATCAGCTTTTTTTGCTTCTTTGTCATTTGGTCATCTCTGTCCTGCTTTGTCTTTGGATATCTTTGATCAGCTATTCTCACAACTTTACTTTTGGTTCTTCTATCCCTTACTAGAATTGGTTAACCTTTTCAAGACAGGTCACGGGTGAAAGGACATGTCATCGCATTTGTTGACTTGCTTTCAAAATTTTATTGAACTTCTATTTTATGAATTTATGTCAATAACTTTGGTATCAAACTGTAGATTATAATTCAAATTTTAGTATTATACCTTACTTAATTTCTTAATTTGAAAATAAATATTAAAAAAGAAACAGTTAAACATCAATTTTTGTGTGTCACGTGGTATGCTGAATGCAGCACTGGTTC